CCCGGCCTGTGCCCTCTCACAGTCTGGGACCCCTCAGGAGATAACGACCTGCTGGCTTAGGCCTGCTCCCGGGTGGTAGAGGGCAGGCCCAATCCCTAGGTGAAGCCCCTGGTCGGGCTCAGAGCAGGGCCGATTGGGGAGTTGGGGTGCCGCCCCCTGTCTTGCACAGAGAAGGGCGGATCGGGAGGTTGCGATGCCACCCCTAGTCACGCTCAGGGTAGGGCCAATTGGGGGGTTGGGGCACCGCCCCCTGTCACACTCAAGGCAGGGTCAATGGGGAGGTTGCGGCGCCACCCCCTGTCACGCACAGAGCAGGGCCGATCAGGGGGTTGGGGTGCTGCCCCCTGTCACTCACAGAGCAGGGCCCATCAGGGGAGCTGGGGCACCGCCCCCTGTCACACACAGAGCAGGGCAGATCAGGGGGTTGGGGCACCGCCCTCTATTACCCACAGAGCAGGGCCGATCAGGGGGTTGGGGCGCCTCCACTGTCACACTCAGGGCAGGGCCAATGGGGAGGTTATGGCTCTACCCCATCACACACAGAGCAGGGCCCGTGGTGGGGGGGGGGGGTTGGGGCACCGCACCCTGTCACACACAGAGCAGCGCCGATCAGGGGGTTGAGGCGCCTTCCCCTGTCACGAACAGAGCAGGGAAGATAGGGAGGTTGTGGCCCCACCTCTGTCACACACAGAGCCGCAGGGCGATCAGGGGGTTTGGTCGCTGCCCCCGGTCACACTGATCCCGGTGCCGGGAGGCCTCGCGGCTCTGCTGATCCCGGTGCTAGGAGGCATATTACCCTTTTACTATATAGGATAGAGGCCTGGTGCACAGGTGGGGGCCGGCTGGTTTGCCCTGAAGGGTGTCCTGGATCAGGGTGGGGGTCTGGCTTGGGTGCCTGGCCAGCCTGGATGAGGGGATGATGGCTGTTTGCATCTGGTCACTCCCCCTTCAGGGTGGGGGTCCCCATTGGGGTGCCTGGCCAGTCTGGCTGAGGGGCTGAGGGCCGTTTTCAGGCTGGCGGGTGACTGAAGCTCCCAACCTGTCCTTTTTTCCTTTTTTTTTTATTCTGGGCCAGCTTTAGCTCTTAGGCTTGGTTCCAGCTCTGAGGCCTCGGCTGCTGAAAACAGGTATCTGGTTTGTTTCGGTTCTATAATCAAAACACTGTTTCAACTCCAGCTCTGAGATCCCGGCTGGCTGAAAGCAGGTTTCTGGGGTTTTGTTTAGCTTCTTGTAACAATGTTTCAAACTGCAAGCTCAGAGGCTGGCAGCCGCAGGCGGGGAACGTTGGCTTCCTCTGTCACTGAAGCAAGCAAGCCTCCTGTTTGCTTCAAGCTGCCTGGCTGCCGGCCGCCATCTTGGCTGGCAGTTAATTTGCATATCGCCCTCATTAGCCAATGGGAAGGGTAGTGGAGGTATGTCTAATTACCCTGTTTCTCTATTATTAGATAGGATTGTAAAAATTAAAATTAATTAGAATAAACCAAAGGCTCTCTTGACCCAGCCCTCCTAATATCACTCCCCTTTTGTTACCAGTCTACTGTGGATCATTCCAGATTGCTTTCTCACTAACAATTTATTTTGGAAATATTTTTATGTAGACCCATCTCTACACAGAATATAATTGCTGTGCACTGTAGATTACTCTTCTGCTTTTGATATATATTTTTCCTCCAATAATTTGCAATAAGAGTGCCGCAGTGAATATACTTGTATATGCCTCCTTATGCATAAATATCAAGTATTTTATTCCCATATAAATGTATAAATGTAGAAGTCTGGATAAAAGTTGTATATATATATATTTGTTTCTACATATTTTTGACATATTTTTATATTTGGTAGGTTTTTTTTTCTCATGCATTGGTAAGAATTCTTTGTGTATTTTGAAGAATAGTCCTTAGTTTGATACACACATACATACACATAAAAGAATATATATGTATCCCCATTAAAAATTTGCATATTGTCTTTTATCATAAAAATTTCATATCTTTATGTAGTCAAATTTATTAGTCTTTGTGGTGTGTGTCTTTCTCAGGAAGACAGTCCATATGTCAAGGTTATTTACATTTGTATCTTTTTAATTTTGTTTTCCTATAGTTTTATTTTTTACATTTAGCTGTTTGAATTACTTAGTTTTGTGTATGTTAGAGGGTATTACCTTAATTTTCTTTCTTTTTCCAAATTGAAAGTCAACTGATGCACACTATCTATTGAATAATAATCTATCCTCATGCTCAAAATGAAATGACATTTTTTTTATGAACTAAATTTCTAAATATATTCATGAGTTTGTTTCTATGCTTTGTAGTAGACTTTCTTGATCTCTTTGTTTATTTCTTGGTCAATACCACACTGTTTTGGTTAGGATAGCTTTATCAACTGTTTTGGTATTTTATAAGGAATCAATTGTTTTTTGGCTGTCTGTCTTCTATTAGATATTTGATGGATAAAATTTCATATTTGTCTTTGAATGTCAAAGACCTTTTACATAGTTTACACGAATATGGGCTGAGTGATGGAAATGTATAAACCCAGAAGCCATTGGTGCTATTGTTACTACACTTTGCATTCTCTAGGTCTCAAAGATCATGGTGAAAAATAACAACTTTCCTAGTTTTTACTCTATTTTCTATTATAGCTCATTACTTCAATGGATTACTTTCATAGGAATTTTGGTTATTATTTAACGTGTTGTTATTTATCTTTATTGTTGAAAGTATTATAGATGTCCCCTTTTTTCCCCTCATTGACTCCCTCCCCCCTTGCATCCCCCCTCCTTCCCCCAGACCTTCACCACACTATGTGTCCATGGGTTATGCATATATTCATATAAAGAAATAATGCATCTACAAAGTGAGAAGTTAAGTGTCTCTTCAGTTCTTAACAGGCAATTATACTACTAATTTCTCCATTAATCTTATAGAATGGCAGCATACCATTCACTCTGTTCTGCATCTTGCTATTTTTATTTAACAATATATTTGGAGATTATTCCATATTAGTACATATCAGATACTGTTCCATAAAATGGTTGTGCCATTTTATTTAACCAGGATGGCAATTCAGTTGTTTTAATAAATACTCTTTATATGCATAATATTCTCAAGTATCTAGAATAAAAAGTTCTGCACATAAAATTGGTGGGTCAAAGGGTATTTAAAATTTCAGCTTTTTAAAAATATTAAGTTGCTCTCCAAAATGTGTCTAGAAACTTTATGAATGAAAACCCTGATGGCACTTGCCACCAGGCTTTAGGCTTGCTCAAATGTGCAGGGGAAACACATAGAAACTCCACTGGGACCTGACACTGGGAAACTGTGGGTGTGTGCACTCATGCACATGAATGGATGTGTGTGTGTGTGATATACATATGGTAAGAAGCTTATGGAAGAACTGTAAGTCAATTAATTAGAGTCTTGTTTAAAGCTCTAATAATCAGTGGAAGTATTAGTGGTTTGAATAAAGCTCCTGACTTTATTATTCTTTGGAGACCGGCAGTATATAATGTTTGAATTTCACAGCCCTGGTGCTGGGAATCTCAAAGCACAGAGCATTTCTTAAGCTTGTAAATTAGTATCCTTCTCAGCAGGAACAGAAGGGAAATCTGGTGTAACGGGTCACTAACTGAGACACTAGCTTTGCTTGGGTCTTGGGCTGTTTCAGAGGAATGGAACCTGGTAGTCACATGGTGAAGCTTCAACAAGGCCCACAGATGGGGTAGGGCAGTTTTTTCAGACTCAGTGCCCCCCTGGAGTCAGCTGGAGTAAGTGGCCTGGGTGAAACAGGCCCTCACTGTCCTTGCTGGCAATAGTTCCTGAGGTTTGGCTGAAAATAGATTTTTTTTTTCTAAGCAAGAAAAGGACTTTGTCTGTGGAATGGGAGGCTATTTTTGCTATGTCCTCTTAGGGAGCTGGTGCAGGGTTGAGGCTGCCTACCTGCCCGGCCTACCCATCTCATTTCATGTGGTCTGTCATATTTCCCTCTCTTCTGCTCCACTGACACTACTCTGTTTGGTGAGTTTCTCTTTCCGTGGTGTGTCTTTCTCCACTCAAATGAAAAGAAACAAAACACCACATTCTCATTTCTTCTTTTCATGTGATAAGGGCAAAGATAAGATGAACCCTTACATGGACCTTCCTTTCTTTTCCCTGCAGTCTCTCCTCCCTAGTTTTGAAATGCTTCATGATTCTGGCCATCCACAGTGAGAGTAGGAGGCCACCCCACTCTGCTTTACTTGCTGCTCCTTCCCTGGCTGTCCTCTCAGCCCTGCACCGCTCTCAGCTTTATCCTCATTGAACGATGTGACTTGGCTGGCCAGCCTCTATGGGCTCTTCCTGGGCAGAGGATTCCTGCTTCTCCTCATGTTATCCTTCCATGCCTGCTTCACCCTCTCTTCATGTACAGGACTTAGAACTGCCAATTAATACAAAGAAAATGCCTCAAATAAACATTAGCCAAATGTAATCACACTCTTTAACAAAATTTTATTAGGATTAAGTCAAATTAGAAAACTTCATGCTTTACCATTTGCTATAATTACCTGAAATGACTAGATTTATACTTGGCTGAGTATAAAACAATTTGTGTCCCAGGATTGTATTGTTTGGAAAACAAGAAAATTGGTATGCGCGGCAGCGTGCTTAATACCACAATGGTTAATGTTTAAGGCCTGATGACTGGTCAGCAAAACATATGTTAATTCCCAGCTCCAGGAGGAAGATGTCATTCTCTACCTCCCTGAAGCAGACTGTAATAGCTTTTGGAGTCTATTATTAACATCTATATTTCAGGAGAAGCTAGGCTCTTCCACCTTCCCCACCCCACCCAATTCATTGATAAAAATGGCTGCTGCCAAATTTAAATTCCGTTGTATAATATAGAGGAACAATGATAAATTCTCATTTCTTTAGGCACCAGAGGATACATATGAAAAGGGCTTGATTCTATCCAATTTGCACTCTTGATATATTTTCCAGTCTCTCCTCTATGCCACTGCATCAGCTTGGCTTGTTTTCCCCAGTGAGCCCTGCATGGCTGTGATCACATCTGTGCTGTTGGTGCCCATTAATTCAGCTGGGTTGACCCGGAGCTTGCTCAAGCTCGAGCTCATAGCTTCCTAGGCCCAGGTCCCCCTCATAAATGTTTTCCTTGTTTGGAGTCTGGGAAAACACTTTCCTGCCCAGACCCAGCCTTGCAGGAGGACTGCAAGGGGAGGAGGATTGCTCCTGGTCATTCATGGTTAGCTCATCCTGATTCACAATGCATTCCACATCCTCTGCCTTGAGCTGTTCCTGGAGGAGAGAGAGAGAGAGAGAGAGAGAGAGAGAGAGAGAGAGAGAGAGAGATCACTGTGCTGAAACAGGAAACAATAGTAGTCCTGTTGTGTAAGAAACAAGTTTCTTTTCCTGTGTCAAAGTGCCTGCCTTGCCTGGCTGAGGCTTACCTTTCCCATCTCCATGGGTTTGTAAGGCATTTTCCTGAGTACATGCTGAAGATGCCACCATAACACAACCTCCTTGGTTTAAGAGAGTTAAAATGAAATTCAATGGGTTTCTTGAATTGATATCTAATGGCTTTGAGAGGATTTGGGAGTTAGCAGAATCTAGTGATCTTAGAGTATGGAATGATCCTCACTGCTGGTTTTGTAACATTGTAATGCTGGTTTTACCATATTACAAAATTCTCAAGACACCATTTCTATTATATTTTATTAAAATTTATCTTTATTGTTGAAAGTGTTACAGATGTCCCCTTTGTGTTTTTTGTTGTTCTTGTTTTTTCCTCATTGACCCCCTCCTCCCCTCCAAGCCTTCACCACACTATTGTCTGTGTCCATGGGCTATGCATATATGCATATCAGTTCCCCTGTTAATTTCTCTTCCAGCCCCCCATGCTCACCTTCCCTCTAAAATTCATCAGTCTATTCCATGGTTTTGGATCTATTTTGTTCATCAGTTTATTTTGTTCTTTAGATTCCACATATGAGTGAGACCATGTGATACTTATCTTTCTCTGACTGGCTTATTTTGTTTAGCATAATACACTCCAGGTCCACCCATGATGTTGCAAATGGCAAGGGTTCCTTCCTTTTTACCGCTGCATAGTATTCCCTTGTGTAGATGTATCATAGCTTTTTTATCCACTCACCTACTGTTGGACATTTGGGCTGTTTCCAAATCTTAGCTATTGTAAATTGTGCTGCTATGAACATATGGGTGCATACATTCTTTCTGATTGGTGTTTTGGGTTTCTGCTATGTTTTAAAAGTGTATCCACATAGTATGTTTCTTGGGATGAGTGTCACAAGACTAATAATGGTTGGAAGTCACTGTAGTGGACAATGGCGTAAACTAAATAGCTCTGCCCAGTATAGTTTTCCTCACACAGAGGTTCCTTGATGGAAAGAACTGAGGTCTCAACCCTTCTTTCATTGGCTTTGGGAAGACCATGCAAAATCACTTGTGGAATGAGCCCTGGCGAGGTGACTGCTGGCCACTGGCTTCCAACCTCAGCCTGTACTTGAACCACTTGGAGGGCTTCTCAGAACACAGATGCTGGACCCCAAACTTAGGGGATCATAGTCAAGACCTGATAATCCACACTTCTCAGAAATTCTGAGGTGGTACTGAGGCTTCAAGTCTGGGGACCAGGCTTTGAGAACAGCTGCCTTGGACTAAATGCCCTGAGTGGGTGGAAGATGTGTTTTTCTGTTTATGAAGGGTCAGCTGGACAACCTAGAAGGGTCCCTCAAACTCCACAATGCTTCTCTTTTGCAATCCCTGACACTGATTTGCTGCTAATGATTCTGATCGTCTCTCAGCATTTTTTGTGCCACTCCCTTGAGCTATCTAGCACAGGCTCATACATTCAAAACCTCTGAACACAGCAGTTTGTGAGCACACATTACTTTTTTTACATTTCTAAATTTATTTTATGGTTAAAAATACTGATAACAATAACAACTTGCATTTTTCAAAGAAGAATGAGCCCACATCAGCAACAAAAACAGCTTCTTGGTGCAGTGAATTTTAAAAATGCTTCCTCCTCAAGCCAGGAAGGAGTAGCCTTGAGATTGCTGGGCTTCCCCACCCCTGTCGCACTCCACACAGTTACTCACCCCATAGGCCTGAGGACTGGTGAACAGTCTGGAAACTGGATGGCACCATTCAGGTAACGTTGTGGTCAGTGGAGGACCAGAGTGGGTTAAAATTGGTTTCAGATATCTGGGAGGCCTGTTAAGGAATACTTGCCAAAAGGGAGTTAGGATTTAGTTTCTCACACAGCACAGACCTTTGCATGCAGCAAAAAAGACAATTATGTTCACCTTTAAATCCTCTACTCCCTCATTTGGGAGACAATTTGGCCTGCAAAAACTGGTGTTTATAATCTTTGCTCCACCCTTCCCAGTCCTCTCAGCAGCCTTTGGTCATGAAGAAATGGTGGCTGGAGCAGCCAGCCTCAGAGAGAGCTGTGAAATTCTTCTCTTCTCCCCTCTCCCACTCAAGGTCTCATCTGCATTCTTAAGAATTATCTTAAACAACAGCATAAAAAATTGTGTTTTCTTAAATTGCACACACAGCTTAAACCACCAGTAACTTTCACAAAGAAGCAAGGGTATTTAATAAAATGTTCAGTACTTTTAGAGCCGGGTAGTGAACATAGTTTGTTTTCCAAAATACTTTATTTTTAATGTTCAACATAGTCACTTCATGCTGCATACTTCAATTCCTCTGTATAGAAAATTATGTTAAAAACCAGGTGACAGGTTTATTCTATTGTCTAGCACCCATCTTTCTCACCTCTTCACTCCAACTCTAAGGAGTCAAAAAAACCTGTTCATCAAAGCCTCTGTGCTTCCCTCCCATCCAGCAATAGTGGAACCCCCAGGGGCTAGCGCAGGTTTCCTTATTATAGGTTTTGTTCAAAGAAAAGTAGCCGAATCATTTCACCATCCCATCAGAAACAACTTTTAAGCTTTATATTATTTCCTCTTCTGGAAAATACTTTACCTCATCAACTTCCTGCAAAGCTTTAATAACCAGGAGAATGGGGAAACATGGAAAGCAGTTCACATTGGTTGGCTGCTGAAGATCCACAGTTACCAGGCACTTGGGACACAGCAGACCCTGGAGATGGCTCTACTGGCATCCATCTCTAGCTGGACCATGGACACCTGCCATCCTGTGATCCCCAAGTGTGCTCAGACGAGGGGACATGCAGCCCACAGAGAGCAGGAGTCTGGTTGCCTCTGGCTTCAAATAATTCACCAGCAAAGTGGTGACAATGCAGGGATGCTCATGAACACAGTCTAGTTATGATGCAAGGAGAGTGACTGGAAAGACACGTTAGAGGGTCTGTAATTCTGACTGCAAATGCAAACTTGATGACTCCTTTCACAAGGTCTGCTGCCCTCAGTTAAGGACTAAGGAAGATATTAAAATTCAGAGCCTGGCATTCCTTGTAACATCCTAATATATAAAAACTTTGGATCCATCACGACTGGAGGCTAGACCAACTGGAGGTTAGTCCTGCAGTCAGTGTTGGGTTGCCGTGGTGACCAGCTGATCAGCCCTGCCTTTCTGATCAGGCCCTGTTGATAGGCCCAGAGATGCTGACCAGCATAGAAACCAACCAATCAGAACCAAATCTGGGTGAACTGTGAGGAGCCAATGGCTGCCTAGGAGGCGGAGCTTTTGATACTGACTGGCATAGAAACCTACCAATCAGAACCAAATTGGCCAGCTGAGGAGGGCAGTTGAGGGCGAGATCAGGCTTGCAGAGGAGGGCAGTTAGGGGTGATCAGGCAGGCAGAGGCAGTTAGGGGCAATCAGGCCAGCAGGGAGGGAAGTTGGGGGTAAGATCAGGCCAGCAGGGGAGGGCAATTGGGGGTGAGATCAGGCCAGCAGGGGAGGGCATTTGGGGGCAATTGGGCTGGCAGGAGAGCAGTTAGGTGTTAATCAGGCCGGCAGGGGAGCGGTTAGGGGGTGATCAGGCTGGCAGGCAGGAATGGTTAGGGGCAATCAGGCAGGCAGGCAGGCGAGGGGTTAGGAGCCAGCAGTCCCAGATTGTGAGAGAGATGTACGACTGCTGGTTTAGGCCTGATCCCTGTGGGACATCCCCCGAGGGGTCCCAGATTGGAGAGGGTGCAGGCTGGGTTAGGGACACCACCCCCATGCATGAATTTTGTGGACTGGGCCTCTAGTATTAAACATATATCTACAACTTTGGAAAGCCCTCGATGATCTTCCATTAATTTTTTTTTAATATATTTTATTGATTTTTTTACAGAGAGGAAGGGAGAGAGATAGTCAGAAACATCGATGAGAGAGAAACATCGATCAGCTGCCTCCTGCACTTCTCCCGCCGGGGATGTGCCCGCAACCCAGGTACATGCCCTTGACCGGAATCGAACCTGGGACCCCTCAGTCCGCAGGCCGACGCTCTACCCACTGAGCCAAACCGGTTTCGGCGATCTTCCATTAATTTTTATTAGTGTTATTTCTCCTTCCTTTTATGGAGATACAAATGATTTTAAATAATACAAAGGCTCCCTTTGCTATTTGGGTTTACCCCATCATCCCTGGTAGAGGTAATTTTTCAGGGCAGAGTCAGCAGACAAGCTTACACACCTGGTCCCTGTTGGCGAGCTCAGACCCTCTCACACAGGCGTATGGGAGGACACCTGATCACATTAGCATCTGTGGTGTGCATAGGTCAGTGAAACATGCTCTTGCAGGGAGAACCCACAGCAAGTAAGCAATATTTCTAGAGAGGTCATGTAAAAATGAAACCAAACCAAAACCAAGTGGTTTGTCAAGGCTCCCAGAGAGGACTGGGCAACTTGCCCTGTTTGAAATTCTCAGTACACCGAAAAAGCAAAATGCCAAAATAATTTACAAAAGTAAAATGCAAACTTAGAATTGTGTAATGAACATTTTCTTTCAACCCTGATGGGGTATTTCTCTCTCTCTCTCTCTCTCTCTCTCTCTCTCTCTCTCTCTCTCCCTTCCCCCCAATTTATTCCTAACTCTAAAGGCAACTATATATTTAATGCTCACCTTCAGGCTTATGTCAATGTTTGTTTGTTTTTTAAGACATTTTAATTGTCTAAACCTTGCTCTTCAGTAGATTCCTCATGAAGAAATCATGGGAACATTCTCTGAGTTCTTGAATATTAATAACAGTTTGTACTCTTTATATTTTGAAAGTGTTTCCCCACCCTGGAAATAAAATTGTTGGATTACACTGTCTGTATTTGGCTATCTTAAATATGTTGCTACTTTCTTTGACATAAGAAGTTTCTTCTGAAAAAATCTAGTGAAAATATAACTTTGTTATGTTAAAAAATATCTGAGACAAATGAAAATGAAATATACCAACATTTGTGAGATGCAGCAAAAGCATTTCTAAGAGAGAAGTTTATATTGATAATGCCTACCTTAAGAAACAAGAAAAGTCTCAAATAAACAGCCTAACTCTATGCTTTAAGGAACTAGAAAAAGAAGAACAATATGGTAAAGCCAAAAGTTAGAAGAAGAAATGAAATAACAAAGATTAGAGCAAATTTAATGAAATAGAGACTAAATAAAGAAAATTAGTTAAACCAAGAGATGAAACTTTGCAAAGATAAACAAAATTGACAAGGCTTTAACTAGACTTACCAAGAAAAAAAGAGAGAAGACTCAAATAGATAAAACCAGAAATGAAAGAGAAGATGTTATAACTGATACCACACAAATGCAAAGGATCATAAAATACTACTATGAATATATATATATGTATATATATATATATATGTATATATATATATATATATATATATATATATATGTATGTATATATATATATATACCAACAAATTAGACAACCTAGAATAAATGGATAAATTCCTAGAAATATACAACCTACCAAGACTGAATCAATCATATGATAAAAAATCTGAACAAACCAATCACTAGTAAAGATAGTGAGTCAGTAATTAAAAACCTCCCAACAAACAAAAGTTCAGAACCATTCAGCTTCACTGTTGAATTCTACCAAATAGTCAAAGAATTAATACCAATTATTATCAAACTTTTCCAAGAAATAAAAGAGTAGATAACTCTTCCCAACTCATTTTCTGAGGCTAGACTCACCCTGATGCCAAACCAGACAAGGATGCTACAAGAAAATATAATTACAGGTCAATACCCCTGATGAACATAGGTGTACAATTTTTGTCCAGTCTCTTCCCGTACCCCCTAAACCCCTTTCTCCCCGAGAATTGTCAGTCTACTCCCTTTCTATGCCCCTGCTTCTATTATATTCACCAGTTTATTCTGTACATCAGATTTTTTATTCACTTGATTTTTAGATTCACTTGTTGATAGATATGTATTTGTTGTTCATAATTTTTATCTTTACCTTTTTCTTCTTTCTCTTCTTAAAGAATACCTTTCAGCATTTCATATAATACTGGTTTGGTGGTGATGAACTCCTTTAGCTTTTTCTTATCTGTGAAGCTCTTTATCTGACCTTCAATTCTGAATGATAGCTTTGCTGGGTAAAGTAATCTTGGTTGTAGGTTGTTGCTATTCATCACTTTGAATATTTCTTGCCACTCCCTTCTGGCCTGCATAGTTTCTGTTGAGAAATCAGCTGACAATTATATGGGTACTCCCTTGTAGGTAACTAACTGTTTTTCTCTTGCTGCTTTTAAGATTCTCTCCTTGTCTTTTGCTCTTGGCATTTTAATTATGATGTGTCTTGGTGTGGTCCTCTTTGGATTCCTTTTGTTTGGGGTTCTCTGTGCTTTCTGGACTTTTAAGTCTATTTCTTTCACCAGGTAGGGGAAGTTTTCTGTCATTATTTCTTCAAATAGGTTTTTAATATGTTGCTCTCTCTCTTCTTCTGGCACCCCCATAATTCAGATGTTGGTTAGCTTGAAGTTGTCCCAGAGGCTCCTTACACTATCTTGATATTTTTGGATTCTTTTTTCTTTTTGCTTTTCCGGTTGGGTGTTTTTTACTTCTTTGTACTTCAAATCTTTGACTTGATTCTTGCAATCCTCTAAACTGCTGTTGGATCTCTGTATAATATTCTTTATTTCAGTCAGTGTATGCTTAATTTCTAGTTGGTCCTTTTTCATATCCTCGAGGGTCTCACTAAATTTATGGGTGGTTTCTAGAAAATTCTTGAAAAACCTTATTAACCATGGTTTTGAACTCTATATCCAGTAGTTTGC